TTCGGTTTGGGGAGTGTTCCGAGCTGCCATGGGCCAGCTCGGGTCACAGCTTTGTGAGGCTTGGGGCCCAGTATAGTTCGTGCTCCTTGCAGGGAGCTCGGGTTCTTAGTAGGGAGCTCGCTCTTAAGGGAGCTCGGACTCCCAGTAGGGAGCTCGGGTTCTTATTAGGGAGCTCAGACCCTTAATAGGGAGCTCGCTCTTAATGGGGAGCTCGGACTCCCAGTAGGGAGCTCGAACTCCTAGTAGAGCGGTCTGGAGTTCGGGCTCGGTAGTGAGCTTGGACTTGCTTTCGATGCTCGCTTCGGGCGCTCTACTGTTCCGAGTTGTTTGCTTTTGCCACGTGTCGGGTGATTGCGAGGTCGGGCCAAATTCCCCTTCATCAAGAAGCACCACCGAAGCAGATATAAACATTTACTTCATGATTCTCCGTTGGCAGATGACATTGTGCACCAACTGGGTTTGTTACAGTAGGTGCACCCCAAAACCTCCATAGGTTGAACTCCAGTTTGGTCCTTATAGTTAGTGGATATAATCAAGTTTTTCAGCCAAGAGCACACTAAATCACCGCAAGCAGTATCATTCACAACTTTGGTAAATGGTAAAAGCACAAGATAAGAACAAATGCTCCACCACCTATTCTTGGTGAACACCAATTTCCAAAGAAACAGATGCACACGGGGATGGGGATAGTTTAAAAAATTTCACCCAAAAGGCCTGTTCCCGCACCTCTACAAAACCTTGCATCACTAACATTGTACAGTGAATTGCATGTCCACCTCATTCCTTCATCCCCCTGCATGCTTGCGTAGTTAAAAACGCCTACCTGAATATCATTTTCATTCCACTCTCGAGAATGTCATTTCTTAGAGAATTAGCAACTGTAAATTCATTCATGTAGTTGAGGAGAGGAATCCATGGATCCCCCATACTCTCTATACCATCCCCAATAAATCGGCAACACCCTTTTTGTAAAACGGATATTATTATTATTCTTATTATTTTCTTTCAAGCAAAGAATTATTATTTACTAATTCTCTTCAAACTTCTAAAGTTCTACTTTTCTTTACTTGATTTTTTTAAAGAGTAAAATTGATTTAATGCATGAATTTTCAAAATAATTAAAAACAAAGGTAGAATATGAGAGCCCGAGGGCCCCCACAAGCACAACAATACCACATGCCTTGAATGTGACAGGGCTAAACTGATAATTTCATATATTGATTTTATGATTTATCTTACACATATTATGTGGATTTTGGTCTAACGTTAATATGTCATCATATGTTTCGTACGAATCATACGGTGCTGAGTGATACACATGAACGCATATCCCCCCACATATGGGACCATCTACATTCTCTTCCTAATTCCTATGATTATCGGTTTCATTAGTATCCTTCACATTACTCTCTGAGGAATCCGTTGGTTCTACTAGATTCCAATTTAATGTCGCAAATCATCTCACACATATGAGAATAGTTATTGGATCAACTCCCTAATTTTTTTTTATCCAAAAAACAAATAATAATAATTTAAAATAAATATAAATAAAGGACACAGAAGCTTGCTTGCTTGGGCTTCGGTTTTCTTTCTTGCTTTACTTTTTTGGCAGAGCAGTATCTATCTATCTAGAACGTTTTATTTTTTTTCTTCTCTTCTTCTGTCGAGCGGATCGGGAGAGCGAAGCGAAATTGTACAGACCAAGATCCCATAGAAGATGAAGATTTTCGTGAAGACCTTGAAGGGAACTCACTTCGAGATCCAAGTGAACCCTGAAGACACCGTACTCTCTCTCTCTCTCTCCAGTCTCCCCTCTGTTTCTTTTTGATATATTGTCTACACAATATTCTCTTTTGACGCTCTGAACAGCACTCACCACTCACCAGTTGATTAACACTTCTTTTTCTTCGGGCTTTAGTATGATAATCTCGTGTTACGAGTGAAGATGGCTTAGGGTTTTTCAAATTTTCCCTGTTTTCTCCCAACCCCTACTCGTTTTTGTATTGTTTGATGCATTGAATTCCGTGTAATTGGAATGCCATGGGACTAATTATAGGGAAAAGATTGAAAATTATGGTCCAATTTGTTTAAAGTGGATTAATAATTCATTTTCGTGTGGGTTTATAGTGTGAACTTTTAGTTCTGATGGATGCTTTGGTATTGGGGACATGTTTTTCCTCGTACTGCATCGGAATTTTGGATGCAGACATGCTATTGAGCAATTGACTTTAACCCATAACTTGGTTGACATCCTGCATCCCAATCATGGCCTCGTGGTTTCGAGTTTACCATCCCGGCTAGAAAACTATAAACGGGAATAAAATAAAAACTTACTACTTTGCTTGGTACACTTGCCAGTTGCACGTATTTCGATGTTAACTATGTTAATTGTCACGTAAAATGGCCATTATCCTGTGCCAGTTCTGGCTATCTGGGGTTAGAGTCATCGGTGAGGGTGAATTGGATACAAACCTAGCCTCTCATATCTTATAGCACGAAGTGGGGCCTCTGAGACACGCTGGTGTAATTGTCAAATGTGTTTAACAATTATAGGCTTGGGCAAAAGAGTTGGATTGGTTTCTCGGTCAGTGATCAGGGCCAATGCCAATGTTTTTATAAAGTTTAATTGTATTAATAAGGTGTTCAAGTGTAGTATTTTCCCATATAGATTTTAGTTAAGTTTTGATTAAGATGGTAGACTAGGTTTAAATTTAGTGAAGTGCCAAAAGTTAGGGACTATTGTTAAGTTAATTGGATTAAATTGGGATGTGGGGTTTCCGGATGTATTAGGAATAGCATCCCAGGATGCCTTTCACATTAAGAATAAAAACTTTGCTGAACCACTGTTGCATGGAATATTGTAAAATCTAAATTGATGAAGCAGCTGCGTCATGCTTTCCTTTAGTTAAATAGTAGGTTCTTTTCTCACACGAGTCCCCAAATCCAAGGGTTCTTCCACCTGAGGGCTCTATTAAATAAAATTTTGGTTGCTGCTGCATTGGTAACCCTGGGAGGTCAGCGATGGGGGAGCAGTTAGAGATCATAATGGATAAATAGTTTCAGTGTGTACTGGGACTATGGGAGAGTGGAACTCATATTAGGAAGAACTCCTACCTCCTCTCCTAGGGCTGCAATTATGTTCCTCTTGCAACCCAAAAGAGTGGAAATGGAAGGGGACTTCACATGCAGGGTGGATGAGTAGATCCATCGATATTTAGACATATACTCTAAGGGAGGCTAAATTTCTAGCTAACAGTCTGAACATCTTATTTATATGCATTAAACGATCTGCTAATAGCCCAGTAGATCAACTTGCTAGAGAAGGGGTAAATTGGATGGACCTCTTTTCAGGGCCTACAATTCAAGGTAAGTCAAGGGGGTCCAGATGTATGGTGAGCAGTGATTTAAAAGGTGTGCCTAGGTGCTCAGTTCAAAGTCTGTGCCTTGCCTAGGGCAAGGCCCTTTCCCTTTAAAAAGGTGTGTACGCCTAGTGTTCCTTGGTAAGTGCCTGGTGTGCCTTGAGCTTCAGTTCAAACATGTACCTCAGTTGAATTTTGTGCTTTTTTGCTCTTTTTTGAAGCATGGTTGCTAGGCCGGGAGCCCCAGACCCCCAACCAAGTCCCTTGAGGCAAGCCTAAACCAGCTCTCATAACCCCCATTTTTGCTAATGTTGTTCATTCATTCTTCTTAATACAAGACACTTCTAAAAGATAAGGAAATATAATCAACCATTTTTTTTTTATGTATGGATTAAAAATTGAAGACCCTATCATGGACTTGTTTGGGCTTGTCTTAAGGGGCTTGGTACAAAGGTGGCTTGCAGAATTAGGAGTGCAAGATGTTTAACATTACAATAGCCATTTGAAGTAATACAATTAGGAAAGGAATAAAGAGATTGAAAGTTTCACATGCTTGAACTGTTTAGTGCTTGAATATGTTTTATATATTATGTTTATGCATTTTAATTTGAGCTTAGGCTTTTTAAAACATTTAGCTTAAAATTAAAGTTTACATTTTTTTCATAGTTAAAGGCTTAAAGCTACATTTCTTTTTGTATATATTTGAGGGATTTTTGCCTTCTTTACCATTAATACAATACATTTCTTACCACTTATCAAAAAAAAGCTTTGCATTTTTTAATTAATACTATTTTTAATATTGTTTATTTATTTTTTTTTGCATTTTTTGAAACTTTTTAAAATTTTACACCTTGCTTCAAAAAGGCATGTGCCTCGCCTTGCACCTTGTGCTTTGGTGCAAAAAGCCCTTTGCACTTTTTTGCGTCTTGTGCTTTTAAAACACTGATGATGGGTGAGTGAAGCAGCTGGTTTAGTGTGCTTTTACCATGTAAAAGCTACTTTAATATTCTCATTTTCTATGACTAAATAAGATTCTCAGATCTGTTAGCAATCAAAAAAGCCCCTGCATCTATGTTTATGGAACTGACCTAATAGTGCAAGTTGTATTTCCAAATTTGGTGCTTGTATCCGATGCAACACTGGAGTCAGTTATCTCAATTAAGGGGTTTAAATGGAATATGTGGAGTGAAGGGTTTGTGTCCTCTGCCTTGTGCCTTCAATCTATTTGTGATTTTAATGCCAGAATTTTACTTTTCCTATTATTAGTTTCTTTATCCAAATACATTGCCAATATTTTCGAAGCGTTTTTTTTTCTTTTTTTTTTTTTTACTGATAGGAAAAGATTTGAGATCTGAAAAGTGAAATATGATGTCCAAACTGAGGAACTTCAAGACTTTAACTGAAAAGTGAAATATGGCATTCCAACACCATAAATTTTTATCTTAAAACTGCTTCTATGGATACCAATAAAAGAACTGATTTTTTGGATAATGCAAAAAACTAGTTAAGGGCTAACTGGGAAGATAAAGGATTCATCAGTGACTTGGTAGTATGTCTACTGCCAAAATCTGATGATTTACTTGCAAACTACCCATAAGCAATTGGTAGTTAGAAAATTGCTTATTTTCTTGTTTCCTGCTCAGAACTTTCAGGCTTGAATTGTTTTTCTAGCTTGGCCCATATAAGCAATTGTTCATTTTGGCAATGATGCATCAAAGTCCCAGGTCTGCTCCAAAATAAGATCTCCTTTGTGATTGATGCCATTCTCCATCCTTGATGCTTTCTGGTGATGTGAAAAATAGTACTCTAGGTTCTCTCACTCTCTTGTGCAATTATTTCTACCAAATGGCAGTTTTAACTTAAATATGTAGGTTCATCATGGAACTATTTGTTGCTGATAAAAAAAAATCATGGACATGGAACTATTTGTTGCTGATAAAAAAAAATCATGGACATGGAACTATTTGTTGGAGATCATCTGATTTTCTCAAGGTCTGCATTTATGAGAATATGCATGTGATAAAATTTTAGGTCTTTTTTCTTGATCAGCAATGGTAGTCTGATATTTTGTCAAAAGTGGAAAGTGTGTAAAACTCCAATGTCTCAAAGTTTTGAATCAAGAGACCAATACAACAACACTAGAAGCTAATCCCCAGGCAAGCATCTCCCCCACCAAAAGAAAGTGTCTCCCTTGATACCTCTTGGCCCTTCCCTTGCTAGAACGTCGGAAATGCTGTTTGTTACGTTTGGAATCCATTGAGTAGTTTGGCTTACGGAAACAACTTTGCTTCTTTAACAAAGAATCCAAGGGAGCAAGAGGCCCTTATACATGTAGATAACCATGAAATCACCACTTGGCAGAGTTCTTCACCGTGCTCAGATTGCTAACTTTAGACCTTGTAGAAGTGCTTTGGCCCTTAGGGAACTTAATACTTGGCAATCTTCTATAGAAGGTTTGTTTTGGCAATATGGATTTAACGTGTTTCTTGCATGCAAAATTGCAACTTTAAGAACTCTTTTCTTTACTATTTAAGTTAGGAATTTCTGTCCATTGAAATTTTGTAAAAGCAAACATAAAACTTTGGATTACACGTCACCCTCTAATTGGGCCCAAATTTTATATGTGGGCATATTTAGATTAGCTTCAATATGAAAGGCTTCGATCAGTAATAAAGCCATTAATTTGCCCACGTCAAAAATCAGGTGACCCATCTACAAGTAGGGCATTTTTACTATTGGATTCAAGCATCCAAAACTCCGTAAGGGCATTTTTTGATATTTACCCCATTTTGTTAAAGTTAACAGCAAAATCATTTAATAAGGGATGATTAAGGATTAGGATAAAACTGAGGGGAGGTTTTAGTGTATATAAGAAACCTTAGTGCTGGTTTAAGGATTCCCCCCTTTTTGTGTTTGCAGTGTAGAAGTAAAATAAAACCTGAAGTAAGTTTAGCAAACCTGTAGCAAAAGTAAACCAGAGCTTGTGTTCTTCTCATTTGAACTTTAATGCATTTGTACTAGTGCAAATGAAATTGCACTACAAACAAACATAGCCTTAGAAATTCTTGTTTCTATTGCTTGCATTTCCATTTGGGGCAATAAATGTATTTGTTCATATCATGAAACCTCTCTCTTTTATCAAACCTATAGCAAAAGTAAACCAGAGCTTGCGTTCTTCTCATTTGAACTTTAATGCATTTGCACTAGTGCAAATGAAATTGCACTGCAGACGAACATAGCTTTGGAAATTCTTGTTTCTATTTGTTTGCATTTCCATTTGGGGTAATAAATGTATTTATTCATATCATGAAACCTCTCTCTGTCCCCCTCTCTCTTTTAGCTAGCTGAGAGTTTATGGAAGGATGCATTGTGGGGGCTTGTTATTTTTCTGGATATTCAATACTTCATGCAGTATTCCTTTTTCCCATTAGAATTCTAATTTTGTATTCTTTTAGGGTTTACTTTTAGTTGTCTTATTTTTGTATATTTCTAATTTGTACATGGTTTTCTATTTTCTAAACACACTGCAGGTGGCTGATGTGAAGAAGAACATAGAAACAGTTCAGGGCCCAGATGTTTACCCTGCTGGACAACAAATGCTTATCCATCAGGGGAAAGTTCTTAAAGATGCCACAACTTTGGATGAAAACAAAGTGTCTGAAAATAGCTTTCTTGTCATTATGTTGACCAAGGTGAGATTTTTTTTCTCTCTATATGTATCTATTTAAGTGCTTTCATAATCTGTTAAATATAGTTCTTTTAGAGTAAGAATAAAGAATATTCCTTTCAGAATGGTTGTCTTTCTGAATTCTTAGATGCTTTTTTTTTTTTTGAAAAAAGGTAAAGTAAATTTATTAATTGAATTTTTAGATGCTTTGCTAAGGTAAATCTCTAGAACCAGGGCATATTTTTTAGTTCTTTTTTTTGCGGTTGGGAATATTTTTGTAAATCAGGGTTTGGGGGTATAGATCTGTTGGGGCATTTCTGTTTAAATCCCTGTGTACAGCTCCTTGTTGTACATGTTTTTTTTTGTTTATTTATGAACATTATACTTTACCTGTTTCAAGAAAAAAAAACTCTAGAACCAGGGCAGGTATAATTAAGCAAGCAGTTATTAGAACAGAGAGTGTTGATGGCATAAGACAAAGGGGGAAACAAGTCCTTTTGCATATTAGCAATCACTAAACCCAAGATACCAAAAATTGACTTCAGTTACCTTTTATGCTAACATGTAACCCTAACTGAGAGGGCAGCATACAGTAGTGCACATTGTTACTCCTGTGGTTGTCACCACTATGGATCTATGAAATTGTGTTGGCTGTTAATATCCAATATTATATGCAACATTCAAAATATCGATACAATACACCCCGTGTTAGGCGTATTGTATTGTATCGGCAAGGCTCCAATACACCTATTTAAAGGTGTTTTCAGGAACCTATTTATTTTGTTTATTAAATAATATAAAAATATTTATAAAAATGAAAATTTGAAAATAAAACTTAAAAAAGTGCATTGTATAAAGCACCGATACACCTACGCTAATACACAGAGGTGTATTGATACTTTCAACCATGGTTCTATGTGATCACAAATGAATTGGCTTGACCTTTAATCCTTTAGTGAAACTACCATGCAGTGAAGGTTTAATATTTATTTTTGACATATGACAAGCTGTTGAACTGTGGTTTTGGAAGTGAATACACCAATGTTGAGAAAATGAAGAAAATACTGTAAAAACCTGGAATTAGACCAAGGAAGTTGGTTGAAGAAAAAAAGATAAAAAGACAAGTAGATTGCTTTATTAAATGAAGAAACTTGATTAGTTGTTTTGATTTCTTTTCTTTTTACATGGATGTTGATTTTTTACTTCCTGTTTTCCCTATATGATTGTTACTATTTTGAAGATAAATAATCCCTATCAAAGCTGTCACATTGAAGTATATTTTCATATCAATGTTATTCTAAGATGATTTTTTTTTCATGCTGAAATATGTTAGAATAAGGGCTCATCTGGTGGAACTTCAACTGCATCAGCGGCTCCTACAAGTCAGGTAAGCTCTAAAGACAACAAGCAAAATTATCCTGCTTGTTTTCTTTTTCTTCCATTCATTTCTTTTGCATCTTCTTGTTATTTTTTAATTCTCTTCATTTTTTCCTCACATTATCATTGTTGCCAGTTGGGTCTTTTTTTTTTTGCTACCGTTGGGAAGAAATAAGGTTCAAATGGCTATTGGTAGCAAAAATAAATTCCTTGAACCAGATATTACTACCGTGTTTTCAGTTCAAATTCTAATGGTTTTGACTAAAAATACCTATATGCTAGCAGTCAACTAATGCTACATTTGATAACATTTAAAAAGGTTTCTATGAGTGCCACCTTCTATTTAAAGAATCTAATAGCAGGGAACAAATAGTTGAGGTACAAAACAACAAGCTGAACATGACAAAATGAAATATACAAAGCAAACTCTCAGGACTGCTGACAAGCACCTGGATTGGTGCCTGCAAAACATGGTTTGATGCTTTAATATCTTGATTGCTCTACTAGAAGCAAGTCAGCTCAAGGCATTAGCTGATTTCAGAATCTGCCTGAGTGATATGTTCAACAAGCCAATGCTTTTAACTCTCTAATTGAGAATCTCTGTGGCCAAGGACCTTCTATAACCGAAGACCACAAATCCAATATCAGCTGACATCCTTAATTTTATAGCCTTTTAAACGTCTTTCTTAAAACAATATCAAATGCCACCTGATATTGGAGATTGTTCCTTGTTCCTTCCAAGTGGGGTTGCTGAAGTAGATCATAACATAATACATTTGAACTTAGCTTGTGCATATGATTGTAGCATGTTGTGTTGATGTTCGAAAATACAGAAACATGAGGGGAGTTTTAGGGCCTTTAGATGTATGGCGTTAAGCCTGAGGCATGAGGTTTAAACCTCATGAGTTGAGTTGGGATCTGCTGCTCATTGGCTGTTTATCACTTGCTACATGACCAATCACGAGTGAACACACCGGTGTTCCATATGCGAGCATGTGGGCCCCATGGGTATGAGTGTCATGAGTTGCAAATCTTTTAATAAAAATATTAAAACTAAAATGAGGGAAAATATGGTAATATGCACAAAAGGAATGCCTTTTTATATAGGATGGGCATATAAATATAAAAGATCATAATATTTAAGGATCATTAGAACATGATGAGTTTTATCCATACCACATTTGATTGCATAGAAAGTAGGAATAAGTAAAGGAAAATAAGAAAGAAAATCATTTCAAATTATTTGGTTTCCCACGGAAAGTTAGAGGAAACCCTTGTTTAATTTCTCTTTTAAAATGTAGAAAATAGAGGTCTAGAATTTTCTTTTATGAATGTACTTTGGAACATATACTCACTTGTTTTCTGTTTTGGGATACTGGTATTATTTGGCCTGTTATTTCTTTTCCTGCTTCATGTTTTTTTTTTTTGATAATTTTCCTGCTTCATGTTATTGAAGCTTCAATTAATCATTTAATCAACAGAAATTTTAGTTACTGAGCTTCAGCATGTTATATTTGGTACTGTGGAAAGAGGGACGATTGTTGCCACATAGTTAATTATAATCTTATTTGTATTGTGCTTCTTTTGAATTCACCTAATAGAATGAATTTTATATGTAGACCCCACAAACAAGTGCCGCAGCTCCTACAACAACCCCTCAACCTCCTGTAGCAACCTCAGCTCCGTGAGTTTTCATGATCTACCTTTTACATTTGAACAATGTTATTTCCTTTCTTTGATCTGGTGTATATATTAGATGCAATTTACATTCTATTGTCAACTTCATTGCACAGGCTGCCATCAGCTCCTGCACCTGCACCTGCACCCACCCCTGTTGCTGCAGCCCTTTCTGCCACTACTGTCTCGTGAGCTCTCTCTCTCTCTCTCTCTCTCTCACACACACACATAGGGATGTAAATTTTTTATGCATATATTATATATATTCTTACACAATATGTATATTATATATTATATTTTTATTTATACATTATATATTAAATCTGGGATTGGATGAAAAACCTTGCATGGGCCCAGAAATTTCCAGGTTGGGCAATGCAGGCCTTGTTAGATATGATCATCCCTAAACAGATATGTGCACAAACAGATGTACATGTGGGCACCAATGCATAAACAAGCTATGGGTTTGATGGCTCTTTTATGGGACAACTGGCTGTATTACTTGAGGCATCAATTGTATGGTTGATACATCCAAGGAAGTTAGGTTCCCCATGTGTGGGAATAGGCAGGCTCCAAGGGATCCTTTATATTTTTACTATATATTCTTTTGATGTAACTTTTTTTGTACTCTATGCAATGACTAGTTCTTCTCAAACACACCCATCTGTTGAAAGCAGCACAGAGACAGATGCCTATGGCCAAGCTGCATCAAATCTTGTTGCAGGAAATAACTTTGAGGAAGCCATTAAGCAAATACTAGACATGGGTGGCGGGAGTTGGGACAGAGATACTGTTGTTCGTGCTTTACGTGCTGCTTATAACAACCCAGAGAGGGCTGTTGAATATTTGTATTCTGTAAGTCTGCTCTTCTCTATTTGATTCCCATTAACTTCAATTTGGATGGAAGTTACCTTCAGCTCAGGTGGATGGTGATGTTTTCTCTTTCATGTTTGTGTTTGCCGGAGAATGTAAAGGTCATTGTGCATGCTGTGTAGCATGTCCATTGGGTATGTGTGCTGCTTGTTATTTTCCTTGTCTGTTATGTATTTTCCTTCTCAAGGAATTTCCTTCTAGAGATACATTGTCCAGCAAGTTGAGGTTTTTGAAGGTGCTTGGCATTGGGTTAGTGAAAAATGCTTGTTGTCTTATGGGTAGCCCTGTACTTCCTTTCTATTCATTCTTATGGGTGGTAGGGACCTCTTCTATAAAATGAATACAATCTATTGTTGATTAAAAACAAAAAGAAAACTAGATGTTTTTGGGTTTCTGCAACTTTGAGTTATATTAAAGGATATCTCTGACAGTGTTTTTCTACTAATCCTAGTTTGCTTCTCCTAAAGTTTTCTTGCTTTCTTTTTCCTTCTACTTACTACCTCCTAATATTTTCTAATTAACCTTCCAAGCAGCTCCCTGAAATGGTTAGGGCTGTAAATGGATCTAATTGAATTGGATATAGTAGACCCAAATTTGATTTGTTTATATTTGAATTTGAATCAAATTCAGATTGCAATTGGTTATTGATATCAACAAACTAAACTAAAAAGATCAAAATATTATATATTACATTATTAATAAAATGAACTAAACATGTCTTTGATATTGTATTTCATGAATGAATTGAATTCAAAAAAGCCTTCTATGAAACTTCAACATATGACAATTTAGGTGAGACACAACATTTGAACCAACTTTACTAATCATATTTAAATCAAATCGAAACAGATTTTATTGGTTTGGGATATAATTCGGATCACCCTTAAATGGGATTGAAATTGAAGAAATTGATATCCTTTGAAGCCCTAAAAATAGTATATACGTATTCACTCGTAATATCATTGGCTTTGATTTTTTTAATACCATTCCTGCTTGCAGTTTATTCCACATCTTATTTATTTCTATTTGTGGAAATTTCCCCTTTCTTTTTTTGGAGGAAGGAGGGAGGTTGGATGGGTGTTTGTGTATGATTTGGACATGAACATATGGTGAGGGGAATAGGATGGTGGGACTTTCTCCATCTTTATAATCATGTGAATAATGCATATCCTAATCATCTCAGTAGCAAGATGAGACTTATTATTAAGGCACTATTGGATCTATGTTAATACTTTGATAGAGTTGGTTTTTACTGCTTTTGGGTGAGGGCCTTCATCCTTCTTACCACCCCCGCCTTCACCCTCAACATGAAAAAGTATTATGTATATCATTTTGCAATTGTTACTGGAATTGCTGTTTCCATTGAATGATTATTTTGCTTTTTTTTTTTTTTAATTTACTGCATATACCAGGGCATCCCAGAGCAGGCAGATGTTCCCCTCGCGGTTCGCCCTGCTGCAAGTGGTCAAGATGTGAACTCAGCCCAGGCTCCGGCTCCGCAACCAGCACAACCAACTGTTCCCTCCACTGGACCCAATGCAAATCCTTTGGATCTTTTTCCACAGGTAGATACTGTAAATCTTTGGTTCTACTTTCATGAAAAATTGCTGGCTGATGTTGAACATTATTGTTCTGCTAAACAGGGCCTTCCAAGTATGGGTTCTGCTGCTGGTGCAGGGACATTGGATTTTCTTCGCAACAGTCCACAGGTCCTTTCTCCCTCTTCTCTGAGAAATAGTCCACATGTACCTATATGCTACTTTTTCTCCTGGTTACTGAAAGCCACCTATGGCGTCTAATGGGAATGGGTATGAAATCCATATGAATTTGTCTCAACTGTTGTCAGATTCTTATTATTGTTAACACCTTAGTAAGTGCAATAGTGCCCCCCCCCCCTTCGTGTCTCTTTTCCCCTCTTTCACATGTCAGAGTTGGGGTATTAGTCAAATGGATATGCACCCTTGGTTATATTTCCATGAGCTAAGCATTGGCAAGATGAAAGTAATCCACTTTCCCCTCGTCAATGATTCCTTCTGTTAACAGGTGTAATATATGTACTGTTCACAGACTTAGTACCCACAGGGGTATTTTTGTAATTTGGTAGACATATTGTTATGTACAGCCAGGATAGTATAAATGCAAAGCTTCACTCGACTGAAGCTAAGTTTTTGAGGCCTTAACTCTGTAGCCTCTTCTTCTTCTTCTTCTTCTTCTTCCTTCTTCCCTTTTTCTTCTCCTTCTCCTTCTGCTCAACATGGTATCAGAGCAGGACTGTCTAGGCCTGGAAAACAACCAGCTGAGGTCTCTCTCCACTGCTGCGTAGAAGCTATAGTCCTGATGCTCGAAGACAAGGAGAGGAAGCATTTTCTAGTGCTGTGGATTGTCTCCACTGTCGAGTTGGGTTCTGCTACATGAAAGTTGACTGTTCAACTTCCTGGCGCAGAAAAAAGGGGTTCTGCTACTGACTGTTCAACTTCCAGCCTTRRGTGCTRGTAGCTGGTGTTGCTCGGCTAAGAAGTCTATGGAAATCCATCCCAGATGTTCGAAGGAAGGTTCTGTCCTGAAGAGAAGTTCGAATCCAYGACTGTTCTACCTATTCACAGTTCGGGTGACATAGGGACTGGAACTTTTTTTTCTTATTTATGGCTCTCTTCTTGCATGACTGTTAATGTCCCAAAATCTGTGTAGGGACTGTTCCCCTTTCTCCGAGTGTATGTTGCTCTATTCAACTCTCCAAGGGACTGTGGTTGAACCCTAGACCCTAAGTGACTGTTCGGCTGTCCTGGAAAGTGGATATCAGCCGACTAGGTGTGGTGCGCCACCACTTGTATTGCTGTTTCTACTGAGTTTTTTTTCTCTCTTGGTTGAGAAACTGTATTGAAGTTGCAAAACTGTAGATCATTTAGACCTGGTTACACTGCAAGAGCAGTTCGTATATTATTCTGTGGACTCCTACACAGTGTAGGTCATACATCCCAGTACTGCAACTGCAGTGTTTGTGTTTGGTTCTCTGTGAAACTGAAAATCAGCAAGTGCCTAGTTGTGGACTGTAACARCTCTGTAAGGCAGTGTACCTGTGTTTTTTGAGTACTTCTAAACYTAKAATCATGAATAARGAAAGATTGTGGTGCACTAATTGTCAGAGGCCCCGACACACCAAAGATACTTGTTGGGAYCTCCATGGGAAACCAAAGTGGGTTCAGGATTTACCTAAGAAGCAAGGCTCAGATGTAATTAGAAGA